ATATGCCCAAAGTATGAGAGACGAAGTTTGGCCATCCTGTGGCCTCCGAGGAGCACTCTGGCTGCACTTCTTCCAAAACGGATCTATTGGTTCTTTTGGCAGCCCATGACACTTTAAATATTCTCCTCCAACACCATAACTCAAAAGTATCAATTCTTCTATGGTTTTCCTTATTCACTGTCCAGCTTTCACATGCATATGAGGTTATTGAAAACACCATGGCTTGGGTCAGGCGCATCTTAGTCCTCCTCAAGCTGACATCTTTCCTCTTCATCACTTTAAAAAGGTCTTGTGCACATTTGCCTATTGCAATACATCGTTTAATTTCTTGACTGCTGCTTCCGTGAGTCTTGATAGTTGATCCAAGAATGAATCCTTGACAACTTCCATCTTTTCTCTGTTGGTAAGAATGTTGTTTATTGGTCCAGTGGTGAGGATTTTTGTTTTCTTTACATTGAGATGTAATCCATACCAAAGGCTTTGATCTTCATCAGTTAATGATTTAAGTCCTCTTCACTTTCAGCAAGCAAGGTTGTATCATTTGCATATCGCAGGTTGTTAATGAGTCTTCCTCCAATCCTGATAGCACGTTTTTCATCATATAACCCAGCTTCTCAGATTATTTGCTCATCATACTGCATCTCTGCCAAGAAATTTGAAAGACAACTATCTGGCCGACTGATTGGAAGAGATCCGTATTTGTGCCCATTCCAAAGAGAGGTGGACCCAACAGAATGTGGAAATCATCGGACAATCTCTTTGATATCCCATACGAGTAAAGTTTTGCTGAAGGTAATACAGAAATGGTTACAATCATACATTGACAAGAGAACTTCCAGAGGTTCAAGCCAGATTCAGAAGAGGCCACAGAACGAGGAACATCATTGCTGATGTCCGATGGACCTTGGCTGAAAGCAGAGAATATCAGAAAGATGTTTACCTGTGCTTTATTGACTACGCAAAGGCTTTCGATTGTGTGGATCATGACAAGCTATGGACAACATTGGAAATATGAGTATTCCAGAACACTTCATTGTGCTCATGAGGAATCTGTACATGGACCAAGAGGCAGTTGTTAGAACAGAACATGGGAATGCTGAATGGTTTAAAATTAAGAAAGGTGTGCGACAAGATTGTGTTCATTCACCATACTTATTCAGTCTTTGAGTAGGAAAATCAAAACCAAACCCACTGCCATCCATTCCTACCTCATGGCAACTAGTAGAACTGCCCCCGTGGGGTTCCCCAGCTGTAATCTTCATGAAGAAAGCAGCCGGTGGGTTCAAACCACCAGCCTTTCGGGTAGCATTAACCACTGTGCCACCAGGGCTTCTTTTGAGTGGGAAGGGCTTTATATAAATATGTCACAAAATCCAGAAGCCACGTGTTGGGAAAACGATTAATTTGACTACATGATATTAAACGTGTGTTGTTGTTAAGTGCTGTTGAGTTGGTTCTCGCTCAGCGACTCAAATAGGGTTTATGAGGAGTGGCTAGAACTACCAATCCTGCAGTTAGTTACCATTTAAAAGATGGTAGCAAGAACTTTGCAGAGAACTCTGTTTCATATAAGACAGGCCTAATTTCCTTACTATCTTACAAAATTGTGAGAAAAACAGATGTACTGCTACTAAGTAGTGAAACAGATCCAAACCCACTGTCATCAAGTTGAGCCTAACTCATCGCGACCCTGTAGGACACAGTAGAATTGCTCCATAGAGTTTCCAAGACAGTAAAGCTTTTTGGGCACAGACAGCCTCATTTTTTTTCCCAAAGTACTGCTGGGAATGTGAACCACCAACACCAACCTTGTGGTTAGCATTTCAGTGATTTGATTATCCTACAGTTGTGTGTCATTGAGTTGGTTATGACTCATAGCAACCTTGTTTAAGGTTTTTAATTGCGACTGGTGGATTTGAACTGCCAACGTTGTGGTTAGCAGTCCAGGCTTATCCTACAGTGCCTCACCTGGGTTCAGTAAATAGTAAAATAGTTCAAAGGTAAAGTATTATACATACAAAGAGGCTTCAAAACGTTCATGGAAAAATAGAAGTAAAAGACTTTTGGAAGACTCCTAAGACTCCTCGTTCTGTCTTATTCCACTTAATATGAAGTCACAGAACAAAGAAAACTAAGAAAGTGATTGCTGGGCCTTATGAGAGGAGCATGAGTAAATGCCTGAGGGATGGAAATGTTTGATTTTATTTATTTATTTATTTATTTATTTTTAGTAATTATAGGCATATATAGTTGTTAAAGTTTGTTAGCCTAAAGATGTATGCATTTTACTAAATGTTAATTATTGTTGTTAGATACCATTGAGTCAGTTCGGACTCATATTGACTAGGGTTTCTTAGGAGTGACTGGTTAGTTTGAACCGCCAATCTTGTGGTTCAAACAGACCTTATAGTTGAGTGCTTATCCTACAGTGCCACATCAGAACTACTTTTAAAAAAAAAAAATTAGTAAAAGTGATCAAAGGACATGAGCAAATTCACAGAAAAGAAAGTACAGATTGATTATGTTGTTTTAGTAGTTTCCATAGAGTCAGTTCTGACTGAGGCAACCCCATGTGAGGGTTTCAGGTGCTGTGTTTTCAGAAGTAGGTTGCCGTGCCTTTCGTCCATGGCACCTCTGGATGGACTTGAACCTCCTATCTAAATGGTTAGCACCTGAGCACGCTAACTAATTGCACCACCCAGGGACTACAAAATAGCAAGATGGCAGTAATCTACCATATTAGGAAAGCTTTGTACATTTAATAAATTCACTAAGGTCTAGTGGTGAGAGAGGAGTCCTGGTGTGGTGCTGTAGGATAAGCACTGGACTGCTAATCTCAAGGTCAGTGGTTCATACCCCACCAACTGCTCCTCAGAAACCCTATGCAGAGTCACTATGAGTTGGAATTCACTCCATGGCACTCAACAACAAATAAAAGTAGTCAGGCCTTAGAGGTACCATAATGATGGATGCACAACCTTGGAACAGCAGGGCTCTGGGATACAGGGATTGAGACATGGTTGGAATGGGGAAAGGGGGTGGAAATAATGTTAAGATGCTTGGCCGTCTTTTGAATCTTGGTTTCCCTGGCATACCATTTTAAAATAGACGCTTAAGGGGACGAGAAAAGAATAGCCAGAAATATCACCATAGAAAGCTTGTAAGTCTGTCTTCTGCCTATAACTGATTGGAATATCTAAATTGGGCTACAACCTGTCCAGTGAATGAGGCTTCCTGTGGAGCCTCTGCATTACATAAGACCATAGGTGAAATCCTGAAAAGCATCCAGAATCTTCTGAGGTGGGAAATTTCCACTTGAAAGGACAAGCAGACCAGTTTGGAGTGGGTAGAAGAACAAAAGATACTTCTTGAAAGAAAGACCAACAGGAAAAATACAAAACAATAACAGCAGTTCAACTGATTAGTACAAGAATAATCAAGCTACTTGCCCAGGAGACATCAAGGCAAATGGTTGGGTCCCCTCAGGGCAAACCCCCTTCCAAGACTAAGACTCAATGGGAATACACAAGCAGACATGTGCTCTGATTGGTGACCACGTTCGCCACAGGTAAGGGGAAGTGAGGGAAAAACAGCAATGAAGCTGCGAGCTAAGCCCTACAACATTCAGTAGACTCCTGTGAACCCAGTGGAGACCTGGTTGACCAGCAGTGTAGCAAGACCTGGAGACTCTTGGGCCCAGAGTCAGTGACATAGCCACAGAGGACTAGAGCGGGAAGTGAAGTGTCCAGCTGATAAAAATAGAGGGCATATGCACAAGAACACCCACAATTGCAGATAATACCCACTTGACCTGGCTTCAATGACTGGATGATCAGAGCTCAACTAGAAGAAGAAAGAAGAGGGGGATAAAGAGTAATCTGATAAAATTTGATGAACTTGACCTACACCTATGGATGCAGTAGCTCAAAAGAGAGAATAAGTCTTTATAAAGTGAGGATCATTCCCACCCCATCAATACAAGGTAGACAGAGATGGGCAACTTGGACATTGGCTATCCTAACAAAGGGGGGGGGGGGGACTACAAAGGCAAGAAGATAAGCTTTCAAGAGAGAACCTAGATCCAGAGGGCACAGAGGAAGGTAGAATCACCATGGAGTGTAGTATCCATTCTGTCTGGGCAGGGCTTATGAAAGGAAATGTGGATAGGTCTCTTGTGGTAAAATAATGAATAATTGTTATCAGGACTGACTGTGAGGGTTGGAAATGTAAAGACAGACATTTTGTAGCAAAAGGAGGGAGTGATTGACTTTGCAGTCCAGGAGCAGAGGTCCCTGGGACCATCAAGGGCGAAGAGTGCAGGACCCTACCCAGAGAAACAGTGACACCAGAGATGGAGGCAGAGACGATGACATGGAGTAATGGAGGGGCTGGAGGGAGAGGGTCTGTGTGCTGATGACCGAGGGCAGGCTTACAGGGTATATACCCTTTAGTTGGCTGGTGATGCGTGGAGGGGATTGTAACCATGGCAATGAAATGATGATGTACAATAGGATAAATGTAAACTAATATTCTCCCATGTAAACTATCACATAATTCACAATAAAATAATTTTTTAAGAAAAGTAGTCTGCCCTCCAAAAAGCTTGTGTACCTTTTTCTCTAACTCTTCTCTCACCACTGTTGTTATTAAGTGACCATGTAGTAGGTTTCCGGGAGCAACCTTAACAATTGGTTAGCACTCTAGTCCTTAACTCTAGCAGTTGGCACTGTAAATGCTTCAACAAGCCAGAATGCAAGCAATATAAACTGCCCCCCCAAAGGAGGTTATTAATCCAATTGTGAATCATTTTTGTGTAATGTAAAGTTCATAGAGTGATTCGAACTATCATGGGAAATTTTTCTATGTAAAGAACTATATCCAGTAAATGAATAAATTCCATTTAAGTAAAAATAAGTATGCATACAAAGTTCCTTAAAGAATATGTAAGAAATATTAAAACATTGGTTTTGAAATACTCTCTTTTTCTTTTCATTTTTTAGGAAAATGTCTGATGAATTTTCGGTAAGTTGATATGCTTACACTTAATCAATTTTATGGCTTTTAAGAAAAATGACGGTCTTATTTGGCCGATATAAGCCATATAATTTAAAAGAAGTTCTTTTATGGTTCTTGAGGTCTGGGTGTATGTGATTTGTTTCATTTGGTTTTTGCATGTGATTTTGATAGATGGTTTATTTAGATAATGTGTTTCAAGATGCGTGCTGTGGTACTTCTTTATAAATTCTTAAATTAAAAAAATTTTGATCAAAGTGATTATTTCTGTTCATTAAACAGTTTCATTTTTTTGATGCTGCTATATGGGTTTATAATCATGTTTGGCATGATTTCTCCCTAGATAAGATAGATATTTATATTTTGTATTCCAGTTGGCAGATGCCCTACCTGAACACTCTCCTGCCAAAACCTCTGCTGTTAGCAATACAAAACCTGGTCAACCTCCCCAAGGCTGGCCAGGTTCCAACCCCTGGAATAACCCGAGTGCTCCACCTTCTGTGCCATCTGGACTCCCACCAAGTGCAACACCTTCCTCTGTGCCTTTTGGACCTGCACCAACAGGAATGTATCCCTCTGTGCCTCCCACTGGACCACCTCCTGGACCCCCAGGACCCTACCCTCCTTCTGGACCCTCATGCCCCCCACCTGGTGGTCCGTATCCAGCCCCAACTGTGCCAGGCCCTGGCCCCACAGGGCCATATCCTACACCAAATATGCCCTTTCCAGAGCTTCCTAGACCATATGGTGCACCCACGGATCCAGCCACAGCTGGTCCTTTAGGTCCATGGGGATCAATGTCTTCTGGACCATGGGCACCAGGAATGGGGGGGCAGTATCCTACCCCCAGTATGCCATATCCCTCTCCAGGGCCATATTCTGCTCCTCCTCCTACCCAGGCTCCAGGGGCTGCACCACCTGGTCCATGGGGCACTGTGCCACCAGGCGCCTGGGGACCACCAGCACCATACCCTGCCCCTGCAGGATCATATCCCACTCCAGGACTCTATCCCTCTCCCAGTAATCCTTTTCAAGTGCCTTCAGGACCTTCTGGTGCTCCACCAATGCCTGGTGGCCCCCACGTGAGTATTGCATTCTTCAAGAGTACAACTAAAAGATTGTTTCTCCCTGATTTTTGATGGGTGATTATAAAACTTTTGGCCTTTCTGAAAGAGGATGTGTGTGTGTGTAAGTGTAAATTTCAGAAATCCAGGTGAAGTGTTTTAAAAGAAAGAAAGCACATGCATTCCTGGTAATGAAAATATATTAATTGCCCTAGCTATTTTATAATATAGTAAGCAATGTCCTCAGTAGCATCATTAAGGTAAATTCTGAGATATGCATATTTAAGCATGTCTAAATATTTCTTTATAGCATCACACCAAAGCACAATTCACTAAAGCAATCAGCCTGTCTGACGGCTTGATGCAGAGATACTAGTTTTAGAGAATCCAGAGTAATGAAATTACAGTACTGCCCACCTTTCAGTCAAATGTCAGTAGTATTTCTCAGTAAAGGTTTTGTTAGATCTTTAGCAACATTGAGCTAAAGATTATACCATTGTTCTGCTAGTGAAATGTAATGTTGGATGCTTTCTTGTCAGCAAAACTGGAGTAGGATTGGCGTTTAAGTTGAGGAAGTTGTTTAAGGTGCATGACCAGATAACAGGCATTCCCTAGTGAGGTGAGCCAAGCAAGTATCCAAAAGCAGTGTCGAGGTTCTGCTTCAGGGAAATAATTCCTTTATATTCAGTAACTAATCAGATGCTTAACTAGATTAATCAAATATCCACCTCAACTAAAGGGACAATCTCAGTATCAAGTGTGCCATAGTTCGTCCCTCTTTATTATTGCAAATTCTTGCTGTTAGATTCTCTTTTTGAAAAAGGTTTTTAGTCAACTCTAGGGTCATGCTTGGGTGTTGGTTGTAGCCTTAGTGGGCTTGAGTCCTTGAAGAGTAATTGCTGACCTTCCTCACTAGCTGTGGGCCTTGTCACAGCTAGCCTAGCCACCCCGTTAGTAACATGCAGCAGATTGCCCTGCTCAACTGCTAGATAAGCTGGGCCCCACAAATTGGATTGTAGTCCAACAATATTTAGGAAACCTTTATTAAAGGATTGTGTAGAATTTCCATAGACTGCTGACAGGTTTGTCCAAGGTACAGTTTCGGTGCTGTCTGACTTACTGTAGTCCTGTGAAATAAGTCGAGTTCGTTTGGAAAGGTGGGTATGAGACATTGTCTCTTGAAGAGGAACCAGAATTTCTACCCAACTGTCAACCTTGATAAATTGTGGACCTACAAGGGTAAATGCTGCCACAAATAGGACTGGGGCTGCTCTCATCGTTCATGTGGTGCAATCAGGCGACTAGAATGCTCTGGGGAGGTAAAAGTTCCCCAAGTCATCACGAAGGCTAAATTCTTCAGCACACGAGCTGAGGAGATGATTAACGGTGTTGGGGACCTGTGTCCTGGTGTCTTGAAGCTACATGGAGGTTAATTAAATGTTAAATACGTAAAAAAAAAAAAAAAAGTTTAGTTGGTTGATTGATTACAGAGTGCGTGCCAAGGTAACTAAATGAGATGATTTGCTGTTTGGAATATAAGCAGTAGATTTATTTCAAGCCACATAAACTCCATTTACAAAATGTAGAAGTTCACTTTCTTTTTTTCTTTTGCAGTCTTACCATTAAGTTAACAGTGGATGAAGAGATGGCGCTTTGCTGTTTTGAAGTATATACATATGCACATGAATGCATATATTAAAATGGATGGTTTCACTATTCTTAGAGGGCATTCAAGAAAGAACAACTCTTGAACCTCCCAGAGAAGATAATCTGCCTCTCATACTTGGATGTACAGTTGGAACAATCATAAAAATATAAATCATTCAAATGTGATTTTATTTGGTTTTCATGGAAAGTTAAAGTGATTAAGTATATTGAATAGCTCTTTGATAGAAATTGTTTAAAACATAAAGCTTCATCCTTAAAAATCTAAGGTGACGTGAGTTATTGTTAGAATCTTCAACTTTGTTGGCACATTATTTTAAGTATTTTCTATAATCACTTTTTCCCTAAATAAACACACTTTGAAAAACAATCACATTGCCATAATTTAGACAAATTATGCCTCTAAACTTTTTGAGCTGCTCTTTCTATACAACAAATAAGCCTAGTTCTCTTGAAGTTACATTTTTGATATACATTTAAAACTGTCAGTAATTATTGCCAGATGTTTGAATTCATTAGCTAGCCAGTGTCCAATTTTATCCTTGAGCTTTGGTTAGTAAAAAAAAAAACCTTTTGCGTGCCACCAAATTAATTTCCACCCATTTTTTAGTCAAATGGGTCAAACAATTCTGCCATTTAAACCAATTTAGGGTGTTTTTTGTTTGTTTGTTTTTTTTTAATCTAGGCCAAAGTGTGTAAATTATGGTTTAGAGACTAGGTCTTTGTTTATTGCTTTGAGATGAGTTAAATGCAGGAAATCATTCTCTCCTTTGTTTTGAACCTCAAACCAGAGAGGAACCCCTGGGAGTATCTTCATAGCAACAGGTAAACTGCATTCCCACCAAACCTGAGGCAGCTCTTCTGCCCAGACCATTCCTGTAGTTTCCCTTTCCCTCCGTTCTTTAGAAGGAACACATCTTGTATTCTTCCCTGATAGGAAACACTGGCAAACTCTAGAGGTTTATCATAAACATGGATAGTAGTTATATTTAGAGAACCATAAGTCACACCATTTGTACAAGTGGAAATCAAAATAGGTATTTGTCTTTCCAAGTGTGGTTATGATTTGTCATTGTCTCTGGAATCGTTTTCTGGACCTGTTTGTAAAGTTTTTACGGCTAACGGTTGAGTTCTGTATTTGCTGACAGGTAATTGAGTGTCACCCTTGAAAACATTATCTTCTCGTGAAAATAATAATAAATTGTAGATCTCGCCAGTTGAATTTAAAGCCAGTATGATTCTGTTGCTTAAATATTAAATAATGTTAATAACCACCAAAATAACTCGAGTAGCTTTTGGGCACCTTACCTTTAAATCAGATTTTTAGATTTGGAATAAATGAGTTTGGCATTAGAACTGACCTTGTTATTTGTTAAAAGACATTCTAAAAAACTGTGTCCATTTGGTTTCTAAAGTGTATTGGGAATATATTGGACAAGTATTGAATTCCACAAGATTGGGAGTTCCAACCCACCAGCTGCTCCTTAGAACCGCTATATAAGGCTGTTATAAGTCGGAACTCACTAGACAACACTTAACAACATTGAAATAATTTATGCTAGTGCACTGTTTTGTGTCAGGATAAAATATTTCATAGTTTGTTTAGAATGTCAGAATGCCAATACTGCCAGTTTCATTATAATAGGTTTTATACATACCTTCTTTTAAGAAGGGAAGATGGTCACCTTGGAACATTCATTGTTTCAGCTTCTCTTATTTTAAGTAGATAATACATTTCAAACTACCAGAATTGATAAAAGGCAGAAACTAATTTGTTTTGATACCTCCAGACAAGGGATTGTTGTTAGGCAACTTACAGGATACACCTGGTCCTGCCTTTGTTCCCTTCCTGCCAAGGATCTACAACACTCTTGGAATGTTTACAAGGCAAATAGCCTTAGGAAATGTCATAACTTATCAACTATTATAATGTCAGTTACCTTTGCATGGATAAAATGGTAGGGAAAGTAAGATGGCAGCAAAGATCTCTCCTTACAGTTATTTTGGTTGCCCTACATTGAGAGAAGTTGCCACCTCCAGCTTTGGATGGAGTATTTAATATAAATACTAGAAGGGTTTTAGTTGACTAGAAGAAGTAAGTTTGGGAATCTATAATTGTGGAGTTCGTCAACTTGGTTAAGGAAGAAGATACTTTGCTCTAAGGGATTTATAGGGCCATGAGCACAAGGATGAGTGATCACTGCTCCCCTATAAGTGTTAATAACTTTGTGAATGACTTGTACTTTTCAGACTACTCTAGGTGTTACTGCCATTTTAACCCTTAATTTTTGAAGACTTTCCAACTGGAAAGTTGGGGGATCCAGGAGCATTAAGGAGTTGGGGTTTTTTGTTTGCTTTTAAATATAAGCAAGAAAAATCTAGGGACTCGTAGAATTTGCTTATAGACTCTTTTTCTCTAGAGCACCATTTCTCCAATTGGAGGGACCCTCAATTCCTGTACTGGGGTCAGAAAATATATGTTGGGTTAAGGGTGGATTTAGGAAGAGGTTTCAGTGGAGGAAGAGAGCAAAGCATCTAGGAAGGTTTTTTCTTTACAAGAAGAGAATGCTACTTTCACATCAAACCATGCTAAGCTGAGCTTGGTTTATGAAGAGGCTGTTAGTGCATTTGGTCTTGTGGGAGTACTTGCTGGCATTTGGACGTCATAGCAGGGATTTTCAAATAAATTTGGTGGAGATAATTGAGATGTTCTGGGAGATTGTGTTTCTGGAGTTAAAAAAAATTTTTTTTCATGTTAAAATGAAGAAACAGTACTAAATACATAGACCCAAAAATCACAGTAAAAAAATAAAACTTTTATAAGTGCAAGGGATAGTCTGTAGACCTTCAGTCTTCTTTCACAGAGTTTTTAAAAATATTAGATGCTCCTTAAGATTCTTGAGAAACCTTGGCTGCTTTACTGTGCTTTACTCAGCCTGACATCTGTTCATGCTTTTGAAGTATCTATAGGTCTGACTTCACAGCCCTGTTTTGTTCCAAGTGCTATATAGTCATTATTCATGAATTGCTATTTGTTGCTAAGTGCCATCGAGTCAGTTCCAATTCTTAGGGAACCCTGTATAGGGTTTCTGAAGAGTATCTTATGAGCTTGAACCACTGACCTTGTGGTTCAAACCGACCTTGCAGTCCAGTGCATTAGCCCATAGCACCACACCAAGATTCCATGAATAGCCAGTATTTAAAAAGCAAAAAATGAAAGGCCGCCTCCTTTCTTTGTCCGTTTTACTGTTTATGGTCTCCAGTAAAAAATGAAATAGGGCAGAGAAGAAAAGGGGTTAATTTTTGGCCTTGGTAAAATCCACCATTACTGTGGGATATTGGAATATTTTCTAGGGAAAGTCATGTCCATGATATTTTACTTCACACGTAATTCATGCCATCTAAATTCAAATGTACAATTTTTTAAGCTATTTAGATAGATGAACATAGCTCTACTCAATACTGTGCCTAGTTTTACATATCATTTGCCTGTATTTCTAAATTGAGTGCCAACATCTTCCAGTTTAGATCTCACCCTGAATATACCTAGTTTTATAAAATGTCATGTTTAAACCCTGGAAATTAAATTTATGCATAGACCTTTAAATATTAAAATATTGAAAAAGTCTAAATTCAGATGGATCACATAATACTGTGTACTATGCATAAAAAATGGCGAGTGGTTTACAGGGAAGACTAATCTCAAGAAAGCAACATTTTAGTACTGAAGACACACTGTTATTTGTTTGCAGGATTCTGCCAAGTTAAACAAAAATGGCCAATAAAGTTGTCAGTATTAAATGCCATGCAACTTCAGACGTCAGAAAACATCTGAGGACTGCATTCACTCAACAGACATTTTAAATGTTAACTCTCCAAGGGCTAGAGATAGAGTGCTGAAAGCTAAATCCCTATCCTTGAGAGGCCACTATCTGGGGGTAACTGCTGAACTCTTTAGTAGGTAGTAGTTCTGTATAGGGTCACTGAGTCAGAATCGACCTAATGGCAGTGGGTATCGGTTTTATATAGATAAGCATTTTAATATTGCTAGTGGAAATCCTAGATGAGCTTTTGGACATTTTAAAGAGCAAAGTTCAGTATACTTAGCACACACACACCCCAAAAAGTGTAGTGTTTATAATAGTGTCGTTATCTTAGGGTGCAATCATGGGATACTTTTCTTCTCACTTTTCCCTCAATGAAGGCTCTTTCACGGCCTGTCATTGTTTAGCAGATAGTGATTTGTTGCCATTAAGTAAATTTGACTTGTGCTCTGTAAAGATATTTTTGTAATTTTTTTCCTTAAAATTGTGAGATTTCATTGACTTTTTAATGACACATTTAATGTCTGTAATTGTCTATGCATTTTAAGTTAAACTGCCTAAAATGTGATTTGAGACAGATACACTTGTATTATGAACTGTAAGCAATCTGTTTGAGATGTTGGGTTTATTACCTGCTGCTGTATTTGTAAACGAAGACAAATGTTGCTTTAAGAAGTAATTATAATTAGGAAATAGTCTATGGATGTGATACTTGATATTTTTAAAGATAAACTTGTTTGCTTTTGTGTATTATATCTGAAAACTTTTTTAAAAATGTATTTTCATGGCTTGACAATTTTTCCATGTATATTATTTTTTAGGCCTAATTCTGGTCTTCCCTAAGCTAGTTTGTTTTTAAAACAAAAATGTTGGACCTCTCCCCCCCCACCCCACCCCCAGTAGTCAGCTAAGGCCTTTTAAGTAGGCTGCGTCGAAACCCTTCTTCCTTCATAAGCCTTCTTTCAACATATCCATTGTGATATTTTCCTCTCCTCTCTTCCAGGTGAAGTTAGCCTTTTAACTAGGTTGTCTCTGTGTACATTAGGGAGACATGAAAATGGTTCTTCTCTAGCCATACTTGCTGTGAGAACACCAGTCTTAGATTCAGAGGTTTCCCGTTTCCTTCCCACAAGAGGT